CATAGTTCTGAGTCAAATATTTCCATAAAATGAATTACATAAAAACAATATTAAATAACAAAAAACATAAATCAGATCAATCAGCCAATACATCGGAGGAATAGAGAAAAATATATATCAAAGCGCTAAAGGTATAACTAATATGAAACTTAGTACAACCAAGTGATATAGTGAAATTAGGGTTTAGGCGGTCTAGCCCTAAACCAAGTGATATGTCTTACATAGGATCATAAAAGAAAAAATTAAATTAATAATTCAATTGTGCTGTGGAAAAACAGAAAATGATTGGGACAATAAAAAATTTCAACCACTGTGTAAAGACATCGAATATATAACAATATATAAACGATCCGTGCAAAAAATATTAAAAAAATTGAAATAAAATGTTCAGCGAAAAATAAACGTAAAAAACGTGTACAAAAGAAGTTGTTAATGATATATATTGATGGTGATATATATTTCGTAGCGGTGGTCCGACAGCCCCTCTTGGGTGGGTACTCACCAAATGGAGTTGGATCGAAGGCTTTTAGTTAGTGACACTTGAGCCTGCACTCGTGCTTTCAAACTTGGACCCTGTTGTTTTTACTCTCAGTCCCTGCAAGGTGAGTGTTTGGTTTTTCTCCCTTGTAGCGCTGGCTGTATCCCAGAAGTGAAGCTGGATCGTCTCAGGCGCAGTGTCAACGAAACTCCTTGCCGTGGTCCCGCAATATTTCAAAAATGAAAAAAGGAGAGAGCCCTCATAGTGTAGCGTGCAAAAACATTTAGCTTTATTACAGGTAGTAACTTACACAGGCAAAAAAATCCGGCCGGCACAAGCAGCTCAGGAACAAACTTTTAAAACCCTCGTGTGCAAATCTGGCGTCTACCCTCTTCTCATCTATTTTACATCGGAGGAATAGCTTAATTAAAAATCATTTGTTTAAAAATCATTGGATATTCATTTAAAAGGACAGTCATTGGGTATCAAATCATATATTAATTAAAAAATTGTGCAGTTAAATTACCAATCCGGACGGAACCCATTCATAAAGACATCCGTAATGAAATTATATGAGAAGTCAGATTTATACATGGGATTCTATATGAGAAATTAATGAATGGCGATTCATAATTCTGGGTCGAATATTTCCATTATATAAAATCAATTATATAAAAACAATATTAAATAGCAAAAGCCTAAATCAAATCAATCAGCCAGTCCATCGGAGGAATAGCTTAAATAAATAACATTTCGTTTAAAAATCATTGGGTATTCATTTAAAAAAACGTCATTGGGTATCAGATCATATATTAGCTTAATAGCTTAAATAAATAACATTTCGTTTAAAAATCATTGGGTATTCATTTAAAAAAACATCATTGGGTATCAGATCATATATTAATTAAAAAATGTGCAGTTAGATTACTAATCAAAACGGAACCCATTCAGTGAACAAAGTGAAAAAATGTAAAAATGGGAAGGAGTGAGTGAAGACCTGGTTGTGGATATAAATACGTAGGTAAATATATGCACAAAAATGGTGTTTGTACAGTATTGAAAAAAGGAATTAACTGTATATAATATTCTCTTGGGTGGAAAGAACTATGTGTTGTGATCTCTCAAGAGGAAATAATCATAACTTATTAGTGCATAAATGTGACGCTTGTAAATAATCAAATATGAACATGTGATATATATACGGAGTGTTTAAACATAGTATCAACAGAAAACAGAGGAATTTCTCTCTGGCATGTACCAAAGAAATTGCACCGACCTGGAAGATTTTTATTCACAATCCCAGGTCTTAGTCGATAGGTTTGTAGAAAAGGGCTATAGGAGGGACGAATTGCATCGAATAAGGGACAAGGTTGGGGAACTTGATAGAAGAACTCTATTACACCAAGGTCCAAAAAAGAAAACCGATGCCTTCCCAATATCATTTATAACAGACTACTCAGCACAACACCGTGACATAGAGGGCATTATTAAAAAGCACTGGGGCATTCTCAAAAGGGACAAAACGCTTAGCTCCAGGCCCCAGGCCAGACAACAAGCCTCAACTGCTGCTATCCCCCAGCCAGCCCCAGACACATCTCATTCAGCTGCTGCTGCTGTTCCCTTCCCCCCCAGCTCCAGATCATTGCAGGCTTACCAGTGCAGTGACTCGACTTCACTACACACAGCCACGAACAGCCATCAAGCTCTGCTACTCTGCTGTGAAAGCTCCGTGGCTGCCCCTGAAAAAAAAAACCCTTCCTGCACGTGGGCAGGAAGGTACCAAAACATCAAATTGGACGTGGGTGTTGGGACGTACCAACTGTTCCGTACGACTGCGGCGGACCCTGTAAGGACCAGTCACAGACACCTTGCCGATTGCTGG